TGGGAAGGCCAGAGATCAATTTTTCATTTATAGCACAATCTACAACCTATCATCAATAAAAATGCTAAAGTTGACATCAAATTTTAGCTGGTGCAAATCAAAGGTAGTTTCTTCCTGGGTAGCACAATTTGAATACTGCCATCCTTATGATTTAGGCTGCATTTAGTTTTGACAAGCCTGATCAGCACAAGAAACTTCACATTGCTTGCTCATAGTTATTGAAGGTGGCTGCTAATCTGCCTGGCCAATTGGCTGAAAAGTGTTGATTTAATAATTTAACCAATTATCAGAAAAGATCCATCTGATTGTGGCACAACAAGAAAGAGGCTAATGCATGTGTTTAAGATCGATTTAATGTGAAACCAAAACATGTGAGATACAAATAATGTGTAATGGTAAATTGAGAGCTACTGGATATCACAGTAGTTAGAAACCTATCTGAAGCAAATGTGTTGTAGCCTCTGTGGAGAGAAGAAAAGAGTTAACATTTCAAATCCAATATGTTTATTCTTTGGAGCTGAGGAGAGTTTCCTTCAGTCACAAGAAGAGTCATATTGCTAAGAGTTAATATTAACTCAAAATACTACAGATGCTACCAGACCTGGTGCATTTCTTTAGCACTTTCTGCTTTTATTTCAGATCTCTAGCATCTGTCATATTTTGCTTTGGTAAAGGAAATGGGGTTGGGGGTTACTGGGCAACACATCTTTGGACATGAAGGACAGTAAATGAAAGGAAGGATGTATGTGTCAGAAAATGTTAATATATTGCTGACAGCAATTGTACATTGGTACAATGGTTTTGTATCTTCAAGACAGACTATAAAATGAAGCAGTGGAAGTTAAAGTAATAGTTAAGCGATATACAGGAGGAACACAAGGGAACATATTGAAATGGTATCTTGAATCCAGAAAGAGACCGAAAGGACAGTACCTTTGATATGAGGAGTGAGTAAGGGAGAGGGAAAATCATCAAAGATTTCAGATCCTAACTGCTGTTCAATTTCTTCAGCTGAATGAAAGACATGCAACATTTCCTGACTTCACACCATCCTCATCTGTCCCTTTTTGTCTGCCTACTTTACCTCTGGTCTAAACTAAACCAACATGATCCTGGCTGATCTCTGACATTCTACTCCCACATTCTAATCTCTATCAAATTAAGGTCATCCAAAACTTTGCCTGTGACCTCACATAAAGTCCTATTCATTCATCACCTCTGTACTCACTGACTTACCCAGTCTCCCAGGCAAGCAAAGTCTCATTTTCATTTTTGTTCTCGTGACCACGTCCTTGTGCATCTCAGAAGTTGTAAGGGTCACTGGACTTGAAACATTAACTCTTGATTTTTCTCCACAGATGTTGCTAAACCTGCTGAGTTTCTCCAGCAATTTCGTCTTTCATTTCATGATTCTGATTATACACTCCACTATTTACTGGAGAGATCTCTTCTGCCACTGCTATATGCGGCAACGGTTTCCAGTGTGTTGTCACGGGGCTGTTAATGCAGAACCTCAGGCTAATGTTCTGGTGATAACAAGGTGTAGAGCTGGATGAACACAGCAGGCCAAGCGGCATCAGAGGAGCAGGAAGGCTGACGGGGTTCTGGTGATGTGGGTTTGAATTCCAACATAGCAGATGGTGAAATTTGAATTAAATAAAATTCAATAAAATAAATCTGGAATACTAGCCTAATGGTGACCATGTAATTGCTGTCAATTGTTGTAAAAACCCACACAGTCTTTCAGGAAAGGAGATCTGCAGTCTGGTCTACATGTGACTCCTGACCCACAAAAATGTGCTTGGAGCAATAAATAGTGGCCTGGTGAATAAATGGTGATGTAAAGAACATCTTATGAATGAATTTTTTAAAAAATTCAGTTCGTTGATTGATTGACCTTTGAATATATCCTTTTGCCTCTGTAGCAGAGACAATAAATTAGAGAATTGTTTAAGTGGTTTTGAGTGTTCTATGCTAATCCTACACAAATTCTATTTTTGCCCACCCTTACTTTGATCAGTGATTGTAAAGCATGAGTTAGAGTAAAACTGAAACAACTAGGTAATACATGTACATGTTCAGTTAGATACAGACATAAAGTGACAGTTAGCCACAACATGGAACATGTGAAAGCCTTAATAACTGAAACTGTTTGCCAGTTTATCTTTCACAGCCTATGATAGTCCTTGGTTATAAAAAGTTCATACGAAAAATTGTATTGTTCTTTTGTATTTAAAGCTGATCGTGTTTTACAGCAAGGAAGATATTGTTTAAGATACCCGAGTACTTTGATCTACAATTGTTTTCAATTCTTTGTTGCAGCTATCAGAACCATTGCCAGACAAAATGTGGATGTGAATCTAAGTGTATTTGTATCTGTGTGTGCAACTTTAACCAAGTTTTTTTTTTCCCCATCTGAGTATGTTGTCGATTGGGATGTACATGATGCACTATCTCATATTTTGATAGTACCTTTTCAACAGGAAAACAGGATTTATTTTGTTGATGTGAACAATTGAGGACTTTTTGTAGAATGCTGTGGAATTCAATTACTGCACGTTAGCTGAAAGGCTCAGTTGTATGAAACCTCAGAGGGATGTGATTTCAAGCTGGGAGAGTGAGATTCCCTTTCTCATTTGCATTATTCAGTACCTCTTTTGAGCGACTGAACTTTCAAATTATAAATTAATGCCATGTTTGTATTCATGCACTGGAACCACACTTGACCCAATTTAAAAGGGAACTTGGCCAGACTCAGCAAGCCAGTTTTCTTTTAATTATAGTTCTCTTTTTCTCTAAATTTTCTGTCTTTATTTCCTTTGGTGCAGTTTATTACAAATATTGTGTAATAAAAACTGCCTGGTTGTCTTTCTTTGCCATTCAGCTTGTTTTTCTGTTCACCAAGAAATATTGAACAAACCTTCTTTGCAGACATTAGGAAAAGTGTTCCTTTAATACAATGAAAGTCAAATTAGCAATTATTTAATGGCTATATAGGCAGAGTATGGGCTCACAAAAACTGAAAGAGAAAACAATTAAAACAGAAGAGATTGATAGAACTAAAAGGCAGTAAGGAAAAAGAAAGCACAAGTTACAGGATTAAAATAATAATTTACAAGTATTGTGAGCTTCTGATCCAGAATTCTTCACCCAGTCTAGTTCTCAGTGGTATAATGTGTGGCACACCCACAATTACCTGACCATAACATGTTTAGAAAAGTGCTAGCTAATCAGAGGTCATTTGGATTTTGGCTCAGATTGAAATAAGCCTCTCGAATCCTATTATTTATCATTTCCTCATTTAAACTTGGGAAGCTTTGAACAATTACTAGTAAATCTTGCAATAACGCAAATTGACAATTCTGCTGTTTGTAACTGATCAGTGATAGGAATGGCATATAAAAGTAACATAAGGGCCATTCAACGTCTCTGCGTTCAATCTTTCCTGCCTGGAAAGAAACAAAGCAACTGTCTGAAATTTGGCAAATAGTACATTCTCAGTGTGCTGCTGATAGCTTGGGAGGACTTTTCCGTAGCTTTGCTGACTCTTGTGATGTTGGGAGTGGATGCCAGATGTGGGGGCTGGGAAAATAGTAGGATGAAGCCATTTAAGGATGCATCCTGCTACCAGGAAGGTTTTCACAAGGCAGGCGTACATGCAGATCTGCAGCTGATTCGAATACTGAAGGGTACGTAGATGGTTTGCCAGCATTTTGCTGGAGTGGCCCCACTTTACATGGGAGGGGGGATGTGGAAACACGCGGTGAGGAACCCATCTTTCAGCCTCTCTTTAAAAGAAATGTAACAAGTTTTCCTTCTGAGTGCGCCTTTGGATTCTCGTTTCTGCCTCGGCAGCAACCACTTTTCCTGCTTTGACCGATGACGTTTTCCACCTAAGGCTGCTTTGAAGTCTCTAACAGCAACATGTCCACTCTCTCCAAGCAAAAGAAGAGAATTCTGGATGAAAGCCATCCTGGGTACTTTTTGAAAAATTCTGGCTTCCCTGTTATGAAAAGCAATGAATGTAGAAGTTTTGGAAAAGATGGAAATACGTTTGAGAGAGCACCAAAAAGACTTATGAAACTAATATCAAGGATGATTGACTTCAGTGATGAGGAGAACTTTGAAAATCTTGGGCTGTTCTCTTTAGAACAGAAAAAAATAAGAGGACACCTAATAGAGGTTGTAAAAATGATGACAGATTTTGATATAGTTGATAAAATAATCCCTCTGGCATGTGGGTCAATAAATGGAAGTTCTGAATAGTTAATTCCTGGAGCACACTCCCACAGTAACACTGGTTGAAAGTAGTATTGATTGATATAGATATTTTATGTCTCTGAAGCCTGAACTGTTACTGACAAAGAAGTGAAACTTTGAAAAGAGTCTCATGCTGCATCAGCCAAGCGTTAAATTAGCCTGAACTCTGAACTTAATTCTTAATATCAGTTCAAACAGAAACTGCTTTGTATAAACAAAGTAAATAGGAGCAGGAATAAGCTATTTGGCCCTTTGTGCCATGAGTGTCAATGCAGACGCTCACTCTATTTTTTTTGTTTGTATTTTTGTGTAGAGACAAAGCATATAAAGTGTGAGGGATCCTCATGTGGCATACTGTTGGTGTCCCTACTCCTGGACCAAGGAGGCCTGGGTTTAAGTCCCACCTGCTCCAGAGGTGTGTAATAGCATCTCTGAACAGGTTGATTAGAAAAATAGGTAAAAATTAAATCTCATAAAATGGATGAATAACCATGATACTCCTATCTCTGAAATATGGAAGAATAAGGAAATACAGCCAAGTCTCTCAATATAAGATTCGGTGGATTTTGTTTCTAATTATATGGAAATGTTTCTGAAATTTAGACTTTATTTGAAGATTGTTGTAAAGCTGTGGAGGTTTTGAATGTACGTTTGGGGTCTTGGGTTAATAACTGTAGAATATTTCAAAACTAATTGAGGCTTTTTAAGAAATAACTCAACTTTGTTTTGCTTTTGTCTAGGTCACTGGTGCTATGATTCTCAGTCTATCAACTGTGGTAAGGATTTAACGTCACTCTATTGGTGGTAGTCTGCATAAAGGTAGTAGACTGTAGCATGTAATATGCAGTAACGCAAACCTGTTCAATGCACTAACCCATTGCCCAGAAATTTTGAGATTATTGTTATTCACTTTAAAAAAGAGAGACAAATAGTGTAAGGAAATTGTTAATAACATGTTAAAGCCAAGGGGCTGTCAGAGTTTGAACTGTATTTTATATGATGCAGGTTTACATTAGAAGACTCCCTCATTCAGGTGCTATTTTTTGATTTTGAATTAAGCAGAGTTTCATGAATGCAACCAATAAATCTTGATTTAATTAACTGAAGAGGCTTTTATGATAGATTATGATATGCATATCAAGGTTGGTTTTGTTTTAAAAACTGTTCTGCTTGACTAGCTCCACAAAACCTTAAGACTCACTTATTCTCCTTCAAGTTTACTCCGTGTAACTCTGGTATATTTTGTGCTGTCTCAAGATTCTGTTAACAATAACGCAGTCAAGTTAACCCAGTACAGTGTTTCAGTTCTAGGCTGCCTTTTAATTGTGTTTACAGCAATAACATTTTATACTTGTATAGTGCCTTTCAAATTTGGAAAACATCCTGACATGCTTCACAGGAACATAATCGAAGAACAAGTAGAACTGAGGGACATAGGGGAGGTGGCTCATTGAATGGTACACATGGATGACAGAGACAGAGGATCGGAGCTGGGTCCACTGTTTTTCATCATTTATATGAATGATTTAGATATGAACATAGGAGGTATCATTAGTAAGTTTGCAGATGACATCAAAATTGAATGTGTAGTGGACAGCAAAGAAGGTTACCTCAGTACAATGGAATCTTGATCAGATGGGCCAGTGGGCCAAGGAGTGGCAGATGGAGTTTAATTTAGATAAATGTGAGGTGCTGCATTTTGGAAAGACAAATCAGGGCAGGACCTACATGCTTAATGCTAAGGTCCTGGGGAGTATTGCTGAAAAAAGAGACCTCGGAATGCAGGCTCATAGTTCCTTGAAAGTGGAGTTGCAGTTGATAGGATAGTGAAGAAGGCATTTGGTATGCTTGCCTTTTTTGGTCAGTACATTGAGTATAGGAGTTGGGAGGTCATGTTGTGGCTGTACAGGACATTGGTTAGGCCACTATTGGAATACCGTGCGCAGTTCTGGTCTCTGTTCCTATAGGAACAATGCTGTGAAACTTAGAAGGGTTCAGAAAAGATTTACAATGATGTTGCCAGGGTTTGTGCTATAGGGAGAGGCTGAATAGGCTGGGGCTATTTTCCCTGGAGCACGGAGATTGTGGGGTGAACTTCCAGATGTTTATAAAATCATGAGGGGCATGGATAGGGTAAATACCCAAGGTCTTTTCCCTGGGGTGGAGGCATCTAAAACTAGAGAGATAGGTTTAAAATGAGGGAGGAAAGATTTTAAAAGGGACCTAAAGGGGAATCTTCTTCATGCAGAGGGTGAAATGAGCTGCCAGAGGAAGTGGTGGAGGCTGGTACAATTACAACATCTAAAAGGTATCTGGACGGGTATGTGAATAGAAAGGGTTTAGAGAGATATGGCCCAAATGCTGGCAAATGGGACTAGATTTATTTAGGATATCTGGTCGGCATGGACGTGTTCGACTGAGAGTCTGTTTCCGTGCAGTACATCTCTATGACTCAACAACTCTTATAAATATAAAGATACCTTATTAATTTTTAAGTATTTTGTGAAGTTATAGGGAAAACAATTGAACCCTGGTTAGGCAAGTTACCATCATAGGGATGTAAAAATTCGATCATGTACAAAAAGAACATTCAGTTCAAACTCTATGTGCCTCAATTTGGCTGAACTTGCAGTTGTTATCGTTTATTTTCTTCAATATTATTTTACTTTCTTGGCATGTGTTGATAGCCTGGAATGTCAGCAATGTCAGCGTAGAAATAGTTTGTGCTACAATCAAACTCCTCTTTCTGCCAGTTATTTGTATTAGCCAAATTAAAAATCAACCCATTTTTCAATCTTCTCTAGTGCCCAGGGTTGTTGTTGGTCTGGTGAGGTTCTGGTGAGGTTCTAACTAGTGCTCTGTGGATATCCTTTCATTGTACACAAGCGTTGCTAATACTTGGACTAGTTGTTCATATGAATGATTTCAAAATTTACTGAAAATGGATTTTGTTGCAAATGTATTGACTGATTATGTATCAGTTATTTCCAGGCTAATGGACTTCAAGGTCAAGATTATGTGAATTGTAGGCAGTAGTGAATAAAATTTAGAACTCTACCTCTAGCACAGTCATGTTAATGATTCTGTGATACCAATACTGTTCATTATTATGTATTTTTATACATGTTTGACTATTTTGGTAACGCTAACATTTATTTTAATTGATAATTAAATTTTCTAATGCTATAAATAATGAGGTGCCCAATGATTTGACTCTGAAGAAGTGAAATGTAAATAAGAATACAATTTGTACAATTGCCTGTTCCGTTTTTAGTTACAACTAATTGAGTCCCAAATTCTTCTTCTGAAATCCTTTTATTATTTGTTTTCAAGTACTTAACTAACTCCCCCTAACAGTTGCAAACAATTATTCTTGCAAAGTCAGCAACTGACTTTCTTGAATGAATAAGTACTAAGTACCCAAAACTGCTCTCCAGTGACTTAATTACTGTCTTGAAGGCCAGTCACTATTGTTTTCTGGGGAATTCTGGAGCCAGTTTATAATCTATACGTAGCATTGAGATAAATGACCAAGGAACCTGCTTTTTTTTTCCTTTATTAATTCATATGATGAGGGCATTGCTGGCTGGGCAGCATTTATTGTCCATCCCTAATTGCCCAGAGGGCAGTTAAGATTCAACCACATTGCTGTAATCACATGTAGGCTAGACCATAAGGATGTCAGTTTCTTTCCCTCAATGGCGTTAGTGAACCAGATGGGTTTTTCCCAATAATCAACAATGGATTCACAGTCATCATTAGACTGTTAATTCCAGACAATTATTGAATCCAAATTTCATCATCTGCTGTGGCGGGATCTGAACCCGGGTCCCCAGAATGTTATCTTCATCTCTGGATTAACAGTTTGGCAATAATACCACTAGGCCATCACCTCCTCAATGGGATGTTGGGGCAATAAATGTTAATCCAGATCCCATGCTTTTCATCAAATCGTTATGGGATCTTTGAATTTCCAGATGGCCTTTAGTTTAACATCTTGTCAAAGGACAACATCCCTGCCTATGTGTGAGCCCCTTTGTGCTGAAGTGTCAACTTAGGCTAGGTGATTCCATCTTGGAGTCGGATTTGAATCGGTAACTTCCCCGTGTAGAGATGATAGATGCTATTTCTGAGCAATACTAACGTTAACCATTGTTACACTTTGTGCATGGCTAACCGATTTGTCACATCCTTTTAGGACCCATCACCTGGAAGAATGAGTATCCAACGTGTGGCCAGAATAATCAGTCTCCCATCAACATCTTAACCAAGAAAGCTAAACTTGATAGAAGCTTGGCTCCCATTATCTTTAAGGGTTATGATCATGTTGGTACAGAACCTACTTGGCAGATCTCAAACAATGGTCACACAGGTAAGTTCTGCACATTCATTCCAACAGAGTGGAGGATGAGGTAGTGTAGCAAGGAGTAATCATGAATGAGGATGACTTTTTTAAAGATAAATGGCGGTTAACTAATTTGTTCTTTGAACTAATGAAAATGGGGATGAGGGTAGTGTGATTGATGTTATGTATCAGGACTTTCAAAAGATGTTTGATCAATACTAAAAGAGCAAAAATGAAGTTTGTGTGATGAAAGTTAAAGTATGGATATGAAATAGGTGAAGGGACAGAAACTGTTCTTTATCAGACTGGAGAGAAATGTACAGTGGTATTCCCACAGATTGTTATTCTGAAAGTTTGCGTGTCCTCAGTTCACCATGATGTTAGATCTATCTGGTAGATTTTCTACCAACATCGTCTATGGAAAAGATCTACAGGGCCTGCTTGGTTGAGTCTGGTAGAGGATAAACCGTTGGTGGTCTAAAAAGAAGAAACTCTTGTTTTAAACAGAATGTCATTTACTGCATGACAACAACTAGCTCCAAATTACTCTAGTGTGATAGACATAGACTCAGTGACAATGAGGGAGATCTTGATATTAGGTCTTACTCATTTGAGATCCAAAACTGTTCCTCTGCCCAAGATTGTGATATCACCATATTGGGTGGTGCGTAATGCACTTCTCAATACTAACCATTTCAGACCCCTATTCCCCTGTATAACAAACATGAAACACAGAAATGCAACAAACACTAGATGAGGGTAGCAACAGGCTTTAAGAGGACATTAGATGAAATTTTTCACTTCCCTGCTGATGGTTTTGAGGGTGGGAGTGAAATCCATTGGCTTTCTGTACTGATAAAGCAGCAGAGTGGCACAAATTGGATAGTATTTAAATAGCTGGTACACAAACAATGGGCCAAATGGCCTCCTTTTGTAGTATAACATTGTATGATTCAATTATTCTTTCATTCTTTTTCCATCTGATCTACTCATTCGTTGACACCACTGTTGTTGATTCAATGGAACGAAGTTTCAGGGCACACTAAAAGAATATAAGCAACAAGCAGAGAATTAGGCTGGATTTCCCTTTGAAGTTGCTTTGCTCTTCAATAAGATTATTGACTTACTACTTCAAGCCCAGCTTTCCCAGCCAATCCTATATTCTTTTATTTCCACCAAATCCAAAGATTTCTTGCACTCAGCTGTGAATATCCTGGCACTCAGCCCTCCCAGAGAGAATTCCAAAGATTTGCCAACTTTCTGAGTGAAAATCTTTCTCATCTTAAACAACTGATGTCTTCTTTTGGGACAGGGTTCCTGAATTCTAGGCTGTCTGCCAAGGAAATACCCCCTTACTTTCATGGATTATCAAAGCCTATCAGACTCATATGTTTCAATCAAATCTCCTCTTACTTATCTAAATTCCAGAGAATGTTGGCTCATTCTGTTCAATCTCTTTTACAAAATATTAAAATAAGTTACATCAGAGATCAGCGTCTCAATCAAACTATTATTAAGAAGAACAAGGTCACAAGCAAGTGGTAGCTGTGGAGCAGCTGACCTTCATACCATCTGTAGGGTAAAGCTATGATTACTGGTGATCAGTACATTCAATAAGTGTGAGGAATTGTAAAAGTAAAGAAAAATGTTTTAATCCCTCGGCCTTAATGTTGAAATGTGACGAGTGTTTTGAAGCTGGTGAGGAAAGCTGTACGTGTGCACATGCTGTTGTCCATGTCCTCATTGAGTAAGATTAGGGTTAGCTTCAGGAACTACTGTAAGACCAACTCTCACGTGTATCAGTTGTGAAATACAGTATTCTTTAGAGCTGATGGACCAGAAATTTGCTTTACCTTGTTTTAATCTGAAAGATGAACAGATTTCATTTTCTAAACAAGTAGAATAGTAGAGGTAGATGTTACAAAGCCTTGTGTTCCCATTGGAACCTTGCATACAGCCTAGTGAGATTGCAAACTCATGGGCTGCTTGCAAGCCCTTGCCAGAGGTGTGATCTTGCAGTATTTCCATTTACACCCTCATCAGAACAAACTAAGATTGAAAAGCTTGGCAAGTCCATTTCTTGGCTTGTTAACATTGGCGTGAAGGCTTTTCTTTACATAGCCTGCTCTGTGTTGTACGCTTTGTATCACACAATAGATTTGATTCCACAAAAAAACTCTCCCATCAAATCCAATCATCTTAAGCTTCTATTCCCTTCTCCCTCACATGTTTATCTAGTTTCTCCTCAAATGTATCTATTATTCAACTTAGCTACTCAATGTAGTGGTAACTCCTACATTCTTACTGGAGCCAGGGTATCATAACTTTAAAGACCTTATATTAAGTCAGTCCCTTGGCCTTGTCTTTCCTAGTAAAAAGAGTCGAGTTTGTTCAGTCTTTCTTGATAGATATAACCTCTCAGTTCTCAGTAGCACCCCTGGGTTTTTTTTTGCATCTTCTTCAATCTCACTACATCCTTTCATATAATAGTGAACCTGGACTACAAGCAGAATATCAGGCTTGGTTTTTCTGTATAAGGTTAACATATTTTATTTGCTTTTCAATTACAAATGAACCACAAGTTCATTGATTTTTAAAACAAAACAGCAGTTCAGGTATGTTACAACACATGTCTAGGGTAGGTGGACTTGAAGCCTGACCTTTTGACCCAGAGGTAGGAACACTACCACTGCATCACGAGATCTCAAGTTATTTGATTGCTTTACTAAATGGCTTTATCAACCTGCATTGCAACTTTAATTGTTTTATATATTTGTACCCAAGAACCCTTTATTCCTACCCTATTTTAGGCAATTCCAAAAAGGTTTTGTTCCAAAATGTATTGATGATATATATGCACATGCAGAATTGGCTTTCCCTGAAGTTTCCAAGGTTAATCCTTCAGATAACGCTACAGCAAGCCAAAACAACATCCACTGGAACATAAAAATAAATCATGTGCCTTTTTTCATTTTCTTCTTTTTTTTGGATTGTTGGCAATAAAAATATTAGAAATTAGAATGAAGCCCTTTGGATGTGGCAGTTAGAAATGGGAGGCAATGTCCAACCAAAGTTGACAATCAATCATGACAGGAAACTTGGAAATGTCATACATTTTGACAAAAGTTGGGGTTTAGTTGCCAATTATAATATAGTTTTGGTTGATTTTTCCATTAATTTTTCTGTTGTTGTTTCTTACGTATAGTTACTGTGAAAATAAACGGACACATTGCCATCGAAGGTGGAAACCTTCCAAATACATACAAGGCAGTACAGTTCCATTATCATTGGGGAACAGTATCTAATCCTGGGTCAGAACATAAAATAGATGGGGAACAGTATCCCATGGAGGTAAGATATGTAAACCTTCAGTAAAATTGAATATCCAGTAAATAAAAACAGATTATAATCCAGGTTAGAGCCGCAATGTAGCTTTTTTAATTTCAAAATTAATTGATCTCTATTGCTTTCTTTTTCCATTCCTTGCTTTGGTAATGATGTTTAATGTAAATTGTTTTACCACTGGTGGAATGGAAAAAAATCTGATTCTCAAGATTGAGAAACTCATTTCTGATTTTTCCCTTGAAGATTTTAGAGCTGAGTTCTGAATCTCACTAATGAGAAGTGATTTCCTTATTTCCATGTATTTATGTCTCATTAATAGCTAATATAGAGTTCAGAAAAGATTTACCAAGATGTTGCTGGGAATGGAGAACCTGTGTTATGGGGACAGGCTGGACAGGCTGGGACAATTTTCACTGTAGTATCGGAGTTTGAGGGGTGGCCTTATAGAGGTTTACAAAATCATGAGGGGCATAGATAAGGTGAATGGCAAGTGTCGTTTCCCTAAGGTCTTTCAAGACTAAGGGCCATATTTTTAAGGTGAAAGGAGAAAGATTTTTAAAAAGACATAATGGACAACATTTTTACAGAGTGTTTTGTGTGTGGAATGAACCTCTTGAGGAAGTGGTGGATGTGGGTACAGTTACAATGTTTAAAAGACATTTAGATAAGTACATGAATGAGAAATGTTTGAAGGAATATGGGCCAAGCACAGGCAGGTGGAGGTAATTTAGTTTGAAAATATGGTTGGACCTAAGTATCTGTTTCCATGCTGTATGACTCTATGACCCTGATCTCTATGAATCTCTCCTCCTTTCTAAGTAGCTCACCATCCCCCCAAGAAGCAAGATGGTCCCAGTTCCCAACATGAAATTTGAGCAGTTACTTGGCAGCACAGCTTGCTGCTTGCTCCTTCAGGCCTTCATTGTTAAAGTCTGTTTCATCAATGTGTGATTGGCCGGCACATTGCTCAGCGGTTAGCACTACTGCCTCACAGCACCAAGCTCCTGGGTTTGATTCCAGCCTTGGGTGACTGTCTGTGTGGAGTCTGCGCGTTCTCCCAAGGACTTCCTCTGGGGGTCAACGGGAGAGTTCAGCCGTTGACCAGTGCAAACATTTAAGCACATTTTTCATAATAGTTAAAAGTTATTCTGGTCAAAAAGATGGACTCAGTGAGAAAGATGAACCCCCTGTGGTTAACAATAGTGGTCAAGGAGAGGATCCAATCAGAAAATAAGGCATATGAAGTGGTAAAATTTAGTGGTAGGTCAGACAATTGAGAATTATTTTAGAAACCAAGCGTGGATCACTAAAAATCTAATTAAAAAGGGAGAAAATTGATTATGAAAGTAAATTATCAAGAAATCTAAAAGCAAACAGCAACAGCTTCTACAGGTACTTAAAATGAAAGGGAGTAGCTAAAGTGAGTGTAAGACTCTTAGAAGATGCATCTGGGGAATTGATAATGAGGAACAGGGAAATTTTAATTTAATCTGATATTCTACACTAGTCTTCACAGTGGAGCAACAACATTTCTCAGATATCAGAGAAGATGCTAATGGGAGGAAAGGTCTTGCAACTGTGTCAATCACAAGGGACAAATTATTTGACAAACTGATGGGACTGAAGGCAAACAAGTTACCAGGACCTGATGGCCTGCATCTAAGGATTTTAAAGGACATGGCTGCAGAAAATGGAGGCATTGGTTAAAATATTCAAGAAGTTACTGGATTTTTGGAGGAATCCAGTGGAATGGAAAACTGCCAATATGAAGGAACCTGCTCAAGAAGGAAAAGAGACAGAAAACAGGAAATAATAGGCCAATTAACCAAAGATCTATCATTGAGAAAATGCTAGAGTGTATTCTTAAGGAAAAAAATAGCAGGACAATAGCAGGATATCTGTCCCTCTATGTAACATGTCCTGGCAGTGGCATTACAATGATTGTAATGATAGTTAGCATAATCAAACAAAGTAAAAGTGAAATAATTTTTGACAAATTTGGGAATGTAACAAGTTTTGTTGATAAAGGAAACCAGTAGATGCAATGTATTTAGATCTAGAAGGCATTCAATAAGGTTTCACATAAACGGTTACAGTACAAAATAGAAACTCACAGTATTGGAGGTAATGTATTAGCATGAATTGAGAATTGGTTAACACAAAAGACAAGAAAGTTGACATTACTGGGTCTTTTCTAGATTGGAAAGACATAACTAGCAGATTACCACAAGGATCAGTCTTGCGAACTCAATTATTCTAATGACTCAGTGGAAGGGGCAGAATATATTGTTTCAAATTTACAGATGATACAAAATAGGTAGGAGAGCATGTTGTGATGAAGACACAAGAAATCTGCGGGGGGATTTAGGTAGGCTGAGTGAGCAAAAGCTTGGCAGAAAGACTTTAATGTAGGAAAGTGTGAGGATATGCACTTTGGTAGTAAGAATCAAAAAGCAGACTATTGTTTTAAATGGAGAGAGATTCCAACCAATTGCAGTGCAGAGGGATTTGAATGTTCTTGCACATGAAGCATAAAGTTAGCATTCAGGTGTAGCAAGTAATTAAGAAGAAAAATGGAATTTTGGCCGTTATTGCTAGTGGATTAGAGGTAAAAATAGAAGTATAGTCACTGCTTTACAGAATGTTGTTGAGACCAACCAGGAGTACTGTATACTGTTTTAGTCCTCATATTTAAGAAAGGATATATTGATATTGGAGGCAGGTCAAAAGAGATTCACCAGGCTGATTCGTGGGATGAGGGTGTTGGCTTATCCAGAATGTCTAAATAAATAAGGGAATCTTGAGCTAGGGGACATAGTTATTGAATAAATGGATACTTTATTTTGAAACTGAGATGCAAAGGAAATATCAACCCCAAAGAATTTTGGAAGCTAGATCACTGAAAGTATTTAAAGAGGAGGTAAATAAATTTTTGAAATATTGAGGAGTTCGGGGCTGTGTGGATCTGGCACAAAAGTGGATTTGAGACCTGTGGCAGTGAAGTCATGATCTTGCGAATGGCACAGCAGGCTTAAGAGACTGACTGGCTAACTCCTACCTCTGTTTCTTATGTTCTTATGTTGCTGTTCCTGCACTGTAGTGATACTGACCCCCTGATCCAGACTGCTGTCAGTTGATGTTCTTGACTTATTGTGTCGGGATCCCCCTAACTAAGATTGTTTCCCTTAGACTTTGCTTGAAGCACACGCGGTGTGTTTGCCACCTATGCAGCTGGAACATGCAGTAGGTGTGAGATTGACAGTGCATAGTGCTGTACAACAATATAACCATCACCATAACAAGTTGCCTGGCTCTGTGACTGTGCTAAAGGCAAGGCAAGACACAAGTAGTGTGTTAAGCTCTGGCTGAGATGGCAAAGTGCCATAAGGCAAGGTATATAGAGATGCTATGAGCATCTAAGTAGGTGCAAAGTGATTGAGCACTTAGAGAGCAAGTGTGGAAAATCGTACCCCAGTCCAATCCATGAGTTGGATATCTGTTCCTCTGTCCAACATGTCCTGGCAGGAGCATTACAATGATAGTTGTTGATGCACTGCAAAGTGCCAGTGGTATGGAGATGAGGGTGCGTGAGGCTGATACATCCCTAATGCCAGCCTCTGTGGACGGAGGGTGCAGGCAGTGAACTGCCCATTGTGTGTGCCTTGAGATGTTGGGGGAGGGGCAAACAGTGAGCTGGAATCGCCTGGTACTCACACTGACTTTCATTCTGGGAACTGTTTGTATCCAGTCCATAGGAGAATTAGAAACTAGATTAATGGGGTGAGGTTTGATATTAAAAGAGTGAAAATAGATACAGATAGGCTTCTCACCACTCGCTAGTGAGATTCCCATACGCTGTTCAAAACGTGGTTGCAGAATTGGAGTTCTTATTTCTTGAAATTGAGAATCTTATTTTTCCGATCTCATCATAGTTTCCCAGCTGATTCACCAATGCAAATGTTGTTCAGGGGCTGGGTAGATTCTGCCCTCTGACTTTGGTGCAATCTTGCTGTGAACAATTTTAACACTATGCAACATTCTACATGATTTACTTGTAAACATCCTGAATCTGTCCTGTGTAGATGCATATTGTCCACCATAATGAAAAATACGGTTCTTTCGAAGATGCTGTTAAAAATCCTGATGGTGTGGCTGTGCTGGGATTTTTATTTGAGGTGAGTATTGTTTCTCAGTAGTTACACTGCCACTGGTGGGGCTTTGTTCTGTAAGTTCTGACAAAGTATCACAGCTGAAACATTTTCACTGAAGCAGTACTGTGGAACAACATGTAATGTTTGGTAATAAATTCAAAGAAAACAGAATATAAGGTGCGTTACTGATAATGCATCTATTATGTATTAAATATAATACTTTTACAAAAGCCTAGCCAATGATTCAATTGATAATGGAGATGTTGGTACGCATATGTTCCTGAAACCATTGGGACATAATGGGGGGTGTTTGAAAGGGCACTAGCCTCTTATTGCTATTTTCTCAAGTGGTCATTCTTCATGTTTGTGCCTAGCCATAATTTTCTACTCATTTTGCAAGAAATATTAATATTGGTGATTGGCTAAATCAGTTCAAATTCTGCATGCCTTAGGAACCAATTTGCTACTCATCCACCTTTAGATTTAATAAGGGAGGGTAACCAACCTGATCTCTGAGCTGGATTAGTGATATAAGTATTTAATGAGGCTGGCAGCATCTGCTTTATCAGTGAGTGGGTGGATATTTCAGGTGTCAGGCTGATGTGAAGTTACATGGGGTGAAAGCATATATCAAGAGTCTTACTTGTAGACCAGCAGTAGCAGGAATGCTTCCCCTGTACATCCCACACCAATTTTCCCTTTCAATAGTATGCTTTAGAATTTTTTTTCCTTGTTGTAATGGCTTTGATTTATTTCTCTGTCTCTCTATAGGAATCAACTAAAAATAATGAAGAAATGAATGTCCTCATCAATGCTCTGCAGTTAGTTTCAAAAACTGGTAAGTACTAAAATCAGCATAAAAATTTCAGCTATTTCTGTCTCTGATTCTATCTTCTAATCCCTCCAATTACCACTTGTTTTGTCCTTTTGATTTTAGCAACCCCAAGTTATTCTGGCTCGTGATTTTTCATTCACTTGTTGATTCTCATTCTCAATATTTTCCTCTCTGATCTGTCCTGCTGCATCTGGCTGGAATTCTGTGAAAGTGGCACCAATTTTGCTGCTGTGCCAAAGGTGGGGGCTATCCATCCTCACTGGTGGTTAGATCCAGGGCTGCATTTTGCAGACAGCAGCCATTTAAGTCACTGCTAACTGGACTGCTATCCTGTTGAGGGTTGGTACTTGTTTCCAAATAACACTGTCTTGGAGTTTCCAGTACAGCTTTGATCATTTATTGGATGAGCCTATCAAAGGAAAGCCTCTTTGGTCTGTTGAGAGGGAACTCCACCTGTCCTTTTGCTTCTTCCAGTTAAGATACTATCCTGTGTGCATAGGCTCAAAAATGCAACAAAGGCTTGATGAACTGCTTCTGTTGATGAATAACTGATTGCACTTAATAAAGAACAGACTGCCTATGCCATAGGCACACAGCACTGCACAAGCAGTTAATTTGTTGTCTCTTATGTTGTTGGTAAGCAATCACTGCATTAGCTTAACCTTATTTTATAATCCTTTACCCAAGATGTATCTGGTAACTGGACACTTGACGCACTAAGCTCACCAATTTCTATATTAACCATTTGACTATGAGCTTGCTTGCCAATAAATTTCCCTTAACAGTCCGAACATTCAGTGCCCACCTACTTCAGCTTTAATTAGATGCTTTTTTTCCTCATCTTCATATTTTTCTATGACTCTGTCTCACAGATATTCTACAAAGAGAAGCTTTTCTCAAGTTTTAGCAGCTATTATTGTAAACCAAGTATCCCTCAATTCCCATGTCTCAGGATTTCATTTAATTCCAGCTTAACATTCACGGATTCCTTGCATAATCATTCTGTCTTTTATCTTTTTCTTAGTTATTTGGATCTAAGCTGGTTTCAAACAGAAGCCTGATTTTCCTCATTACCCGACTAACTCTTAACCCACTTTTACACATTGATACCAGAAAGAAACTCCTTCATTACCTCATCATTTTTGTTGACCCCTCTCATTTTTCTCTAATTCATGAGCTCCCAAATTGTTAAATTACCAAGAGTTGTGATCTACACAAATTTTTCTTTTGAAAGAAGGACTCTGTCTCCATTCCATAATACCGGATAAACATTGATGATAAAATCCAATATGATTCATTACAATGTCACTGCATATCACCTCATTCAACCATATCCCTCATTACTTCTGTGGAGGTTTAACCTGAGGGCTACCACACCTCAGGCAAGGGGAAAGGTTGAGAAGGAATGTCCTTCATGGTCCTCCTTAGCTAGTGCAGGAATTGAACCCATGCTGTTAGCATCACTCACTGACAGTCCAGCCAACTGAGTTAACCGAACCCTATAATTGAGTACATACAATTAAAACAACGTAACTATACATGTTTGTCTTGATCTTTGCCTTTTAACATTTGACAAGGTAATCCACTAACTTTATACTAGTATTCTTGCAACATGTTGATTCCAAAAATCTTGTCTCAAATTTAAACGACAATATTCTGACCTAACAATATGTTAATTTACCTCTTTTCACAGCATGAAAATTCTCTTGGAACCACTAGATTGTGTTTTTCATTAACTTTTCCTTTAAAATTAAAAATTCCACCTATAACCTTAAACTCAAATTCACTGTCCCTTTTAAGTGTGGGAATTTATGCCTGGAATAAAATTCCCACATGTTTGAGAAGGCAAGATCCATGCAAAATCTCATTACACACACATTTTCTCTTGGAATTTTCCAATTCCATCTCTGAACATTCATTTGATTCTAGTCTAATTAACAAAACATATGCTTTACAAAGAAACAAATAGAAGCAACTTATGGATTCTAAAGTCTTCTTTCTTAAAGGTATCTTTTGAAGTAATTTAAAGAAAAAATGAATAAAAACATGCAAACTTTAGACAAAAATTTAAATCTTAAAAGCAGTTGACAGCCATATAACTCTTAAAGAGACAGAATTCTACCACCTTGTCCTTCAGCCATAAGAACGAATGAATCAGGAGCAGGAATAGACCATTTAGCCCCTCAAATCTGCTCCACCATTCAATATGATCATGGCTGATCTCATCTCAGCTTCGACTCCACTTTCCTGCCTGTTCTTCGTAATCCTTTAATGTGTGATAAATTAAAATCTGTCTAGCGCCCCCTTAAATTTACTCCATGTCCTGGCATCCACCACATACTTGGGCAGTGAATTAAGAACATAATAACATAAGAACTAGGAGCAGGAGTAGGCCATCTGACCCCTCGAGCCTGCCCCGCCACTTAATAAGATCATGGCTGATCTTTTTGAGACTCAGCTCCACTTACCCGCCCACTCACCATAACCCTTAATTCCTTTACTGTTCAAAAATTTATCTAGCCTTACCTTAAAAACATTCAGCGAGGTAGCTTCAACCGCTTCACTGGGCAGGGAATTCCACAGATTCATAACTGCTTGGGTGAAGAAGTTCCTCCTGACCTCAGTCCTACATCTGCTTCCCTTTATTTTGAGGCGATGCTCTCTAGTCCTAGTCCTAGAATTCCACAGGGTCGCCACCCTTTGAGAGAAATGTTTCCTCCTCATCTCTGTTTTAACGCTTTATCCTAAAACTATGACCTCTCATTCCAGAATTGCCCTACATGGGGAAACATCCTTTCTAGATTTACTTTATCAATCCTCGTTAACATCTTACATACCTCAAATAATATTTATTCTCATTCTTCCAAACTCTGAAGAGTATATGCTAAACTGTTAATCTCTCTTGATTAGACACACCCCTCATCTTTGGAATCAATCGAGTGAATCTTTGAATTGCCGCCAATGAAATTGCATCTCTCCTTAAATAAGGGGAGCAAAATTGTACACAATACTCCAGGCATGGTCTCACTAAATGTCTTGTACAGTTGCAGATACACTTCACTACTCTTATACTCTATTCCTTCAGCAATAAATGCCAAAATTTTGTTTGCTTTCCTTATTACCTGCTGAACCTGCAAAATAGTTTTCTACAATTCATGCACAAGGACATCCAGATCTCTCTGCACTGAAGTACTCTCAACTTTTTCTACATTTAGATAGGTTCCTTTCTATTCTTCCAACCAAAAATTGATAACCTCACACTTATCCAAGTTAAACACCACCTGACAAATTTTGGCCCAAGCACCTAACCTATCCATATCCACTTGTTTTTATTCATTTCTTCATTGAACATACCTTCCCACTTATTTTAGTGTCCTCTGCAAATTAGGCTGGGGAACATCTACACCTACGTCCAGTTCATTAATAAAGATTGAAATAGTTGGAGCATGAGGACTGAATCCTGTGGCACCCCATTAGTTACATCTTGCCAAACCAGAAAAATACCTATTTTTCCTGACTCCACGCTTTCTGTTGGTTCACCAGTCCAAGCTAATATTTACTCCCGACCCCGTGTGATCTTACCTTCTGTATTACCTTACTTGTGGCACCTTATCAAATGCCTTCTGGTAGACCAGACATACCACATCTATAAAAGCCTCGTTTTTCAATTGGCTAGTTATATCTTTGATCTGAACAAAAAAAAGCTGAATTCTCCATTCTCCTTCAGGATATGTTCCAAATTTTTGAATTAATCACATTTGAATAGTGCCTATTTTAATTTGATGCAAAAGTTTCTGTGGTTAAAATTTGGATTTCTGTTTTTTTTATAGAATCCCCATAGTGTGGTAACAGGCCATTCGGCCCAACAAGTCCACACCAAACCTCCAAAGAGCATCCCACCCAGACCCATCCCTCTACCTTATCCCTGTAACCCTGCATTTCCCATGGCTAGTGCACCTGACCTACACATCCCTGAACACTATGGGTAATTTAGCATGGCCAATCCACCTAACTTGCACATCTTTGGACTTTGGAAGGAAACCAGAACTCCCAGTGGAAACCCATGCAGACACAAGGAGAATGTACAAACTGCACACAGTTGCCAAGGATGGAATTGAACCCAGGTCCCTTGCGCGGTGAAACAGCAGTGCTAACCACGAAGTCACCGTGCCATCCCAAATACATTTATCCTTCAAGGATTCAGACTTACCCTTTATATTTTAAAAAAAGCCTGGGGCTTTGTCCTCCATTGTGCTTTAGTTTTTAAAATCACCCTGAAAGTAACTCCAAACCAGTGTACGGTTGTTTGGTCAATATCACTTTGTTCAATTTCTCCTTTTTTGAGTTTAGATCACCCACAGCCTCAGACCAGAGAGTGCTGGAGAAACACGACAGATCTGGCAGCATCTGTAAAGAGAGCCCAGTGACTATTTGTCAGAATGCAGACCTATGTTTGTTTCCCGGTTCGAAACTTCAGTATTAAAAATAAATTTCTTTTGTCCTTTTGAGAATTGTGGCAGGAACCAGAATCCTTTGATCAGTAAACTTTGCCAAAGGTCTGAACCCAAATCAATAAATTCACAAATTCAAACACAGCAACATCAATTGTGCAAAAAAAAGGGTCCTTTCGTTAATTTTATACTAATAACCACTCAGCAACCTACAAACGCAGAGACTGCAAACAGGACTGTTCCATAGGATACACTAGTGGAGACTTACGAAGCATTTAAGCGTTTTTTTAAAAACTTCGCTGTCGTTTCCTACAACATTCTAGACTAGTACCGTGTTACTGGTGTCATCCCTACTAAACCTTCACTGATTTTGCTATTGCTTGGGCCATGTTTGTTGACTTGTCTTTTGTCTCCCTCAACTGCTTGGAAAGTTGCTGCTTGGATTTTAGTCCAATTCTTCTTTCTTCGGTACAATTGAGAAACTAGCTCTGTGGTGCCCCAAGGGAAACCCACAAGTTTAGACAAAATTTAGATAGGGAATCAAACTTGGGAACCTTTGGGTGGTCAGCGCTCACCTTATCAAAAGGACAATTGTGAACTTGCACTCACTTTTTTGAGGAAGTGTTCAAAATCCTAAATAAATCCTTCTCTTCAGCACACAAGTATTCCCAAGTAAAATGATTCAGGAAATCTGAAATAAAAATGCTGGAAAGCAGGATGAGAAATTGATAGTGTCATGGACAAAAAAGCAAAGCTGCTGCTGGATAGATTCATGCCTGACTGAAATGTAATATGTTGAGCCTTGCAGATGATACAAGATTCTGTCTGGCTGTGCATCTGGTGGATGAGATCTTTAGTGCCTGGATTAAATTCTGCCCAATGTTTCAATTTGATCAGTTAGTCATTGGTCTGAAACCGTTTCTCTACCCGCACACACTGTCTGACCTGCTGAGCATTTTAGCATTTCCTGCTTTTATTTCTAACATTCATCATTAAATTGGAAACTATTCTTTAAAAAAGTTCTCCATGCTGCTTATTTTCTTCCATTGCTCTTTTTCTTTGCCATGACTCTTTTATGCCCCCATTTTTCAAAATCTCAAAAATCTTTTATCCAAAAATAGTTGTCAACCATTCTAGGTGTGAACACCTTCGCCTTTGAGACAGTCTGGCTGTTGACTTTATAAAATACAGCAGTGAGCATTTTCAGGAGAGAAAGGGGAGAGCAATGCAGGGAAAATATTTCTTCCATTGAAGAGAACAAGAACTTCTTTCTTCTCCTTTCTGCTTATCAAAAAAAAGGTAATGAAAGAGAAAAATCCAAGTATTGAAATTTGCAGCAGTTTCTTACTACTGAACTCACTGGTATCATTTTGTCCTGAAATAGTTTTATTAGGAGAGCTGAATTGCTGAGAAGGCATCTTAGTTTCAAAGGCACATCCTGCCTGTCTTTATCTGAAATCCTAGAACCCTGCTAAAGTAACAGCACTGTACATACAGCAAATATGATGACTCCGTTTTTCTGTCACTTGCTGCAGACTTGGCAGGTCTTGTGAGCAGCTGGATTTTGGCTGGGAATCATTTGATGGAATTTTAATGGACAGTATGTGTCCTTTTTTTTAAGGCAAGTTTATTACCTGGGGGTCAGTCTGAGCCTTCACCTCCAGTCAGGTGAGGAACATTCAGGAGGGGAGGGATAGGGAGTGGTGATGGGTCTCTGGGATGGGTGTGGGAATCTGATGTTGGGAGTGTTTTATCTTTGATTCTAGTTGTAGTCTGATGGGTTTTAGCTCCTCAGAGGTTGTAGTGAAAACCAGCTGATGTTGGGTCTCTTCTGGCCATGCTGAGTGCTATTAAAAGTTTTTAGCTGTTTCATGAAGCAATTTCCACAACCTTTAGCCACCAGGATTCCGAGCATTCAGGAAACCCAGATTTCTTTTTAATGGGATGTGGACGTTGAGTCTAACATTTTTTACTTATCTTTAATTAGCTTTGAACCGAGTGAGCTAGGCCATTAAAGAGGGAACCACATTGCTGTGACTAGAATCACATGTATGCCAGTCATGGTAAGGATGTTGAATTTCCTTTCCAAAAAGGCATTACCGAACAGTTAAGTTTTTAAAATGATTGATCCATGGTTACTGTTAATAGGACTAGCTTTAAACTCCATATTTCACTGCATTTAAATCAGACAAGTTTCTATGATGTAATCTGAATCCTTGCCCTCTGTGCGTCAGACTGAGCATCTGGATTGCTAGCCCAATAACATTTAGCACTATGCCACTAACTCAGTTATGTGGACAGCTAATTTGTGATGCAGAGTGACACCAACAGCATGAGTTCAATTCTTGCTCCAGCTGAGGTTACCATGAAGGACTCCCTCTCTCTCTTAACCCCTTACCTGAGATGTGGTGACCCTCAGGTTAAACCACCACCAGTTGTCCCTCTAAAATGAGAAAGCAGCCCATTGTTCTTATGGGACTTTAGCAACTTTACAACTGCAGCAAGATCACTCCAGTGATTCTGGTCTGTAATCAGATAATAGGTGGAGTGAGAGAGGGGCTTTGGCCTATGATTTTACAGCAATTCTTGGAATCTGACCCCAAAGTTGTAGCAAAGCTCCAGGCACACCAGCTCTGTCAAGTTGGTTTTTGTTTGCAACTCTTAATCATTGGTTCAACCTCCTCAGATCTGTTAGCTGTTTTCACAGTTTGTTCTTTCTGAATGTCTTGTTTTGCGAACATTCACATATGCTGACCTCCACATATGCAAACACACTGGCACTTCAATTCAGCTCGATCAGAGTGCATGATAGAAGTATTGGGCAGGTGTCTTGTACAGTAGCAGCTAAGTCTCTTGGTCGCACAAAACCTACGCACTTTTGAGGTGAAAATGATTCTCCCAGTTTACGTTATACAGCAACTTAAAATCACAGTGTTGAAATTATGTTTTATGGAAATGACTCTCTGCATGTTCATAGCAAATTTCTTTTTCCCTCCTATTGGTGAAATTATTAACCCATTAAAGCAGTTAGCTAAACAGTTTTGTTAAAATAGTGATCAAAAGAATTTTAACATAAACCACTTTGTATTCAAGCTCTAATTTTTGAACATTGTCAAGGCTGTAATCTACAGAATGTATTTGAATATCAATTCTCTTTAGGTAATGCTGAAGCTGTTTATTCTTTCCTCACCTTTTTAGGTAACTCAAGTCTGTTAAAACCATTTGCACTGAATAGAATTATTCCAGACCATGAGAAGCTTAAGAAATACTACCGCTACCGTGGCTCATTGACTACACCTGCATGTCAGGAGTCAGTAATCTGGACAGTATTTCCAGAGCCCATTCCTATCAACAAGGCCCAGGTAAAGATTATGTGTGAAAGAAGTTGATATAGTACACTAGAGACTAAGCTATTGCTAGGACTTATTTTAGAAAAACACCTGCTTTCTTTTCCTGCACTTTCTACTTGCATAAGGGAATACATAAGGGAGCAGGTTTACGCTGTGGAAAAATGGACTGGTTTGAGATGACTCAAATTTATTGCATATAGTTTCTAAGCATATAGTCTAACGAAGACTTCAAAGAATTGAACACAAAATCTAGATAGGAATTTCAGAATAATACTGAGGGAAAGTTGCAGCACTTGAGGTGCCAATTTTCAGATCATACGTTAGACTGATGGCCACATGCACACTTGAACAGAAGAGCAAGAGAGCTCATTCTAGGGTCAAGGCCAATATTTATCCCTCAACTAAACATCAAAAAATACTTTATCTGCTCATTATCACATTGCTGTATGCAAATTGACCTGCATTGGGCATTGTGAAATTGAAAAAGAAGCTTCCTCAATAGAGTGGCTCATTTTTCAAGCTCATCAGCCTGGGATGGAATCAATGTTGAGTCCTATGAATAAGGTAACGATTGCTGGACTCATGTGAGATAATGTTTCAGAGTCACTGCAAGCATATTATGTGAGCACATATAATACAAAAGAATCCTGTTCTGCCATAATTAAGTATTTACCAATGAAAGAAAAATTGTTTGAAATCTATAAAACACTTTCTAGCACTTTCTCAATGCCCGCTTCATCAGGACGTGGAGGTGCCAGTTTTGGATTGGGGTGGATAAAGTCAGAAATCACACAACACCAGGTTATAGTCCAACAGGTTTATTTGAAAATCACAAGAGTTTGGAGCGTAGCCACTTCATCAAATAAACCTGTTGGACTATAACCTGGTGTTGTGTGACTTCTGACTTACTTAATCAGGCAAATGGATTTAAGAGTCATAGTCATACAGCACGGAAACAGACGCTTCGGTCCAACCAGCCCATGTTGAACATAATCCCAAACTAAACTAGTCTCACCTGCCTGCTCCTGACCCATATCCCTCTAAACCTTTCTTATTCATGTAACCGCCATTCATTTTTAATTAGGTTCCCATCAATGCGTGGCAGGAAGAGGGCAAAGTGATTTTAACCACTGCCCTGTGGAAAACCGACTTCCTGTCCTGCCTCAGTTGGTGTTTGATTGGGTTTTCATGGAAAAATTAGAGATGCTTTCGATTCGCAGCCACTCTGTGTTTAGTGAAAAATCGGAGGAATAATCTTGCGAACAAGTAATTGGCATAAAAATGCAAATCACTCCACCAAATATGATTTGTTTCAATTGAATAATCATTCATCCAAGGTTTCAGCTTCAACAGCAATGTGAAGTGGACAACATCAAACTGGTGTGCCTTATACACACTGCCTGATTGTTCACTAGCATTGCAAAGTATAATGCCCAGCCAATCCAACATTGTTCATTTTTCACCATTACTGAAAGCACTGTTAGCCAATCTCTCCACATTTATAAGTTGATAAATTGTGTTTTAAGCACTTTTTTTGAGTCAGGTCAGGTCTTTTATTGAAGGCTGTATTGTACATTCCTTATCCATATTTTATTGCCTTTACATTCGTGAGTTTGAAATTAAACCATGCAACAATACATTGTTTGCTGCATTATTTTATGTTATTGAAAATACTCTACAGAAATGATACATTGGATAAAAAATATTGTCATTTGGAAACTTACTGTTTTATATTTATTGTTTCAGCTCGACAAATTTTCTAACAGACTTTTCTTCGAAGATTCACAACCTATGACTTTAAACTTCAGGCCCATTCAAAAACTAAATGGTCGTCCAGTCTATGTTTCCGATTCAGCTGTGAGACTTTTCAATGTGGCATGGCTGTCAGTAATACTTGCAGTCTTGATATCTATGTGATTCAACTGAGCAACCTATAGATCCCATTGTCACAAGTGAAGCAGATTTTCTTCTTCTGTCCAGCGGCTATAAAGGGAAATTCCAGTGGTATAACTATCTCAGTCTGTACTAATTAATAATAATTGACATTCTTCTTCTCATTTGATAAGTCCTGGAATGAAAAAGGAACAAAACAAAGACTGTCCTGTTATCACTTTGATCTACCAGTGCACTTAGCAAATGGGTGGTATTCCTGTAGTAGCGTATTATTTTAAGTGTACTTGTGCACTGGTACAGTAGAGATTGTTTCAAGAGGAAATCTCATTAGAACATGGTTTGAATCAGTTAAGGATTGTGCTTCATAACAGAAGTTCAGTTTTCACACATGTCATATGATACTGGGCTGTGCTTTTTAATAATAATAGATTAAAATGTTACAAATGAAAGAAAATTGAAGCACTTGAACTTGCAACCACAGCCTACCAAAAATACAGAATAAATGGTGACCATACTTGGTTCCTAAAACAGGAAGCACCTGTATGCCTATCTCTTTTATCCTAAGCAGCTTTCTCCCCGGGTCTAACTAACTAGCGACATTTAATGACTATAAACATAAAGGTAATGGCAGTGGGAGGAGTGATTTTAAGTGCCATTCATTTTTAATTAGGTTCCCATCAATGCGTGGCAGGAAGAGGGCAAAGTGATTTTAACCACTGCCCTGTGGAAAAGATTTTGATAAGGTCTCGCAGAGGGGGAACAAAGGAGATTTGCTAGAATTATACAAAGGCTGAAGTACTCATTTATGTAAGGAGACTGAAGAAGCTGGAATTCACCTCAGCACAGAGAATGTTAAGGGGAGATTTAATAAAGGTATTCAAATTATGTGGATTTTTAACAAAGTAGAATGATTTCAAATAATGGCAAATGAATCAGAAGGGAGACGAGAACAGTTTTTTCAACATAGCAAGCTGTTGCAATCTGGTTAGAATTAGAATTGCAATTAATGTCTGCTGATGGCATTGGACCCTGCCTTGCCACTGAATCAGGAGATCTGGTTTAAATTGATGATGTGAGATCGAGGTGGAACATTGTCGGGTAAATCACTGGGTGAATTTTAACTGCCACCACCCCTGATTTCAGCTATTATGTATAAAATTACAGTCTAACAAATATATCAGGATGGAATGGGCTATGCTCAGATCCCACCTCATCTTTATCTGCCATTTCAAATTTTGATAGCTTCATTTTGACATATTAAGAATTTGTTTAAATCAAAAGTTTCTTGAATTGCTTTCCTGAGGTTTCTCTTTAAAATAGACCTGATTTACTTCATTTCATGTTTAATCATGCTTTAAGCAGTTTATATTCATTGTATTAATGTTAACATAGATGTATTGGAGGATCAGGTAAATAACTTGAATTTGTACAAAAACTCATTTTGCAGTTAAATCCTATCAGAATGAATAAGGTTTGGTTGCAGTTATTTTACTTGATAATACATGTGAAATTGATGTTTAAAAGCACTAATTAACTAAAAATAATCAGCTAATACCTAACCATATGCACAATTATTTTAGCTGGCACATCTCTGAATAGATTCCTTTTATAATTACTCTGAAACATAAATCTGGAGCATTGCCTAGTTGTCAGCTGGTAAATGGTATGGAGCTTCAAACTGACTCAAATGTGTGAGCAAATCACCGTGTGAAAAACTGAACTTTCTCCTAAGCGTGCTGAAGTACTTGAAATCACACTGCAGTATTAGCAGCAAGGTAGCTAAAATAAACAGGTTAACACCATTAAAGTTAGGAAGGAAATTCATATAAATGCATTAATGTGTTAATTACTAACAGGCAGCACACTTTCAATCCCTGGTGAAAAAAGCATCAGTGTTATCTTACAGTATAATCAAGTATCCAAAATTCAAATTTAAGGAGTAAGTTAAGGGCACTTATACAATTTTATGAAGAACCCAATCTCAATTTTACACAGGATTCAGGGACAGGCTTCAGGGATTATATACAGATGTAGTGTATGGAACGTTTTGCTGTAGAGTTCCAATTAAATAAAGCAGACGTTTACAGTAATTAGAGAGAGCATGATGATGGTCAGCTCCACAATTGATTTCAGCAGTCAGTGATCAGTGCCATAAGAAAAACAGAGTGCTGGAGAAACTCATCTGTGGAGACAGAGTTACTGTTTTGAGTCCAGTGACCCTTGGAGGAAACATTTGTTTTTCTCTTTACAGATGCTGCCAGACCTGCTGAGTTTCTCCAGCACTTTCTCTTTTTGCTTCAGATTTTTAGCATCTGCAGTTTTTTTCTTTTTATTTTAGTGATCAGTGCCATGCATCATACAATCACTTTATAACTTAACAGTTCCATTGAATGGCACAGCACAGGAACAGGCCCTTCAGCCCATCATGTCTGCACTGACCATGATGCCATTAAGACTATTTGAAGATCACTAATTTGCTTCTGAATTTCAAACTGGACTGATAAAATTCCTATCTTCCATTCTGAATGACATGCATAACAACCTTTCCTCCTGCCATCCAGCAAATTGTTCCCTGAGTTATTTTCATGTCAGTGTCTGTCTTTGTATAACCATAGTGTTAGCTTGACTTCCCGTTATGAGGGAGAGATGGTGAGTTGCCACTGCAATCCTGTGAGATGAAGGTACTCTCCATCCCTAGGTGCCAACCTTGTAATCAGAGGTCAGAACTCCACTCTCTTGCTTGGAAAAAAAAAGTATAACTACAATCCTTGAGACATTCTTTATTTGTGTGAAGAATTTTATTAAAAATGAGGAATATCTTCTGTGAATCAGAGCAAAAAAGATGTGAACTGATAGAGGCTGACTAGATTTTCTTTGCCCTTAATTTTTTTTAGTGCAATTAATTAATTATAAAATTTAAAGATATTGATCATGTGTCTTTGAGAGAGAACAGTCATCTCCCTTCACAAAGCCACACAAATTGAAATTGAGCGTTGACTACCAATTTTGTATGATTATTAAATGTATTGCAACTTCCCATTGTTAATTGCCTGCTTTTTTTCAGTCTACTTCTATTGTTTATTTATATTTGTTTATTTCAGCCTAGATCAGTGTTTTTTTTTAATTAAACTAATTATGTTGTCCTTTGGCAGAACTTATTAACATTCCAATAGTTTGAGCCAGGCAATGTTAGTGCTGTGCTGACCTTTGTATTATGTTTCCTTGGGCTGAGTTTTACATTTCAGACAGGTCATCAGGGAGAGGCACTGAGCAAGGTTGTGTATGTAGCAATTCTCTGAGGAAGGAAGAAATGTTGAGAAGGTCATGCTAAGACTCACACATACCTCAGCAGATACACAGCTTTGTTGTCAGAGATCTGAGACTAAGGGTCCTGTCACCATCTGCAGTGACTGGTGAATATAGAGACCTAAGAGACGGCAGAAAATTGTAATACGGAAGTGAGTAGTGTACTGCCCTAATGTACTAGTTATGCATTAAAATTTATTTAATGCTGCCCTCAGTAACACAAGCTTGGCAATTTAGAATCTGAAACAAAATTGGATATTAAAAAGTCTCAGGTGCCATAGTGGTTATAACAGTTTAGTAATGTGTGTATATATGCCAGTGTATATGTATTTTTGTACAGGCAGGAAGTTGTCTCCTGTTTAATATATATATATAAAATGTGTGTGTGAGCATATAAAATACACTTAGATTTGAGGGCAAAAATGGGACTAAAGTATTAATTTACAAAATCTTTGTAACGCTGAGCAGTTGATAATTCTCTGCACCTGTATAAATGTAAATGATATCAGCTCGGATGGAGAAGGATATATTTTTTTCCCCTGGGCTGTGCAGTGCTATAGTTTGACTGTGTGGTTTCAGGTGGCCTCAAGAGGCACAGAGCAATAGGAACAACAAAATGTTGCAAAGTGTCATAACCTCAAAATTAAATCCATTCAGAGTTTTAGTATATTTGATACCAGTGGAGAACATGTATTTGTGAACAGGTAGTTTCTTTATAGTAGTGTATTCTACCTTAAGTGAAGTGACAACAAAGCTAAATACCAGAGATATCCCACTGTTGAGACCATTGAACAAAGGCTCCTTTGAACAGGTGCAGCTGCATTTTTGTTTGCTTCCACTTGACCAAGTTATTTTTGTTATAAGACATAGATTGCATTAGTAATATAACGTTAGAGGAAAATATTGTTGCTCATATCTTTTGATGTTGTATGTTCATGGGAAGATAATAGCAATTGCAAACCATTGGACTCTTTATAATCTGTATGCAGTAACGAAATCCTGTAATAGTTCTGTACATTTACAATTGTATTTAATGGAAACATGTAAATAAAGTTCACTGAGATTTGTAATTTTGTTAACAATATGGATATATCATGGCAGTACTGAGCGAACTGGAATATTGCTATTGACGTGTAAATGAAAAAATATTTTGTAAAATGTAAACCTTTTGGATCCAGATATTTTTCCAGTTCATTTTGTGACTTTTTAATCGAACAATAAAGAAATGTGCAATCTAATTTCTTTTATCCTTTGTTCAGTATCAGGGGATGGACTATATTCCAGGACCCCTTGACTAGTTAGATTAACTCACTATTTTGAAATTTGTCTGAAGAGTAACTAAATTCTGACATTACTTTTCATTAACAATTTTAAGAAGTCCATGCTTTTACCCAAGTAAACAGTGGTAATGAAAATGCTGCTGCCTTGCAATTTGTAGATTGCAGATCTTCAGAGGCTATGCAGGTGGAATGAGAATATAACCATGGAGAGAAGGTTAGGGACAGGAGTCATGTTTTCATGATTTAAACCTCACAGATTAGATTTAAGAACCACTCCAACAAAATGCACTTGGGTACCATGGCAAATTGACAGCAGTGTGTAGCTTGGGCTCACTGGGGGGGAGAAAACAGAAACTATGATGCCTGAATAGAGACACCCCTTAACAAAAATAGAAATTGCTGGAAAAGCTCAGCAGGTCTGGCAGCACCTGTGGAGAGAAATCAGAATTAACGTTTCAGATTGAGTGACCCTCGGAGTTCTGAGAAAGGGTCACTCAACCTGAAATGTTAATTCTGATTTCTCTTCACAGATGCTAGCAGATCTGCTGAGCTTTTCCAGCAATTTTTTTATTTCATTTTGTCTCTGATTTACAGCATTACAGCAGATCTTTCCGTTTTTATTTAAGGCCCCTTCACAATCTCCACATGAGGTTTAACAGGCCACCAATAGCAGTCACCATTTTTCCCTACATGCCCCCCCCACCCCACAACTGACCACCCCACCACCACCCCCCCACCTCACTGCAACCGAACAACCAGTCCTTTGAAAATTTGAAACTGTCCCAGAGAGATGAGGATCCCAAGACTACCTCCATGACTAGGATTTTTCATTCTCAACTGCACCAGGCCTTGATTCCTTTGAAAAATTTGTCCTGTAACTCTAAAACTTGCAGCATTAGCACCGTAACATTTAAAATGTGTTATATTTCGAGAGTGAGAGAGTGATGAAGGGTGATGTGAGTCTTTTAACAATGGACGCAGAGAAGACTATGGTAGATAATAAGGAAATGGTAGCAGGTAAATAAATACTTTGCTCAAAGGAGGAAGAAGACAAATTCCAGCAATAAAAAACATTAAAGCTAAAGGAAAAACCTTGTTGATTATTCTAAATAAAAAGATGGAATTAGAGAAAATTATCAACTTAATTTAGGCAAGCCTCCAAGACCTGAAGTTTTCCGCCCATATATTTTAAAAAGTGGATAAATTTTGCCAATGTTTTGTGCCTTATCAACTATTCCTAGACTCCAGAAATAGCCCTCAACATGAACACCAGACTCTGCAATATTCATTGGATTTCCGTCAATAAGCTGTTCTCTCAGGCTGAATGATTCTTTGAAAACTTTTTCTGTTTCATCATATCTTAAACTTGCAACCTCACTTACAATGAAAAATTCTCCCTGCTCCACCTCCAGAATAATTGTGATGTCCATTTGTGATTTGCCTGCGAATTTTCTTTAAAGAGATGTGCTACAATCCAATCAAGGTAACTGCTGTAAACATAGTCACACATACATGGTCATAAAGAAGCAATTATTACAAGCAAATAAAGAATATAAAACATATAAAATATGATAATCTATGGTTGATTGAGCAGCATGCAATTACAGCCCAATAAAACTTCATTAAATCTGCAGTAACACTGCATTTAATACTTTTTGTAAAAGTTTAGTGAAGCCATATAATTTTTAATGGGAGCAAGAGATACAAGGAGTAACTTTTGTCTCCTATTTTGTATTGGTTGTCAGTGACAAGCAACACTCTGCCTGTGTAAAGAGTCTGACAAACGTTGGTGTCAACTTCAACATCCAAACCCATTACCATGAAATAAGTGGGTCACCACAAAAGCACAGCCTCATAGTATCCCATACCACGAACTGATGGCTTCGAGGCTTTCTAGAGACTGTTGGATAACTTAACAATATATATGGGGCTGATAAAACTATTGTGCTCTTCAACCATCTAACATGCTGGGAGGAAAACATAACTTCCACCAACAACTTTGTTGCTGTTCAAGAATTAAATGCTAGTCAAAACTATGAGAGAAACTATTAGAAAACAGTGGATGTAGAATTGGAGTTGGTCCAAAAATGTGCAGATTAGTTGGTTTGGTCGTGCTAAATTGCCTGTAGTGCAAGCTAGGTAGAAACTATTGTAAATACGGTGTTGAGGGGATAGGGTGGGATGCTCTTTGGAGGGTTGGTGCAGACTTGATGGGCAGAATGGCATCTAACTGCACTGTAAGGATTCTATGATTCTGTGGAATATAAATTTCACCTGAGAGAGTACCTGGTTTAACATTTCATTGAAAAGATAAGCATTTTGATAGTGCATTTCTTTAGTACAACACATTTCCTGGAAATGTGCTCAAGTCTCTAAAGTTTGATTTAACCCCACAACCACCTGATTCTGAGGTGAGAGGTCTGCACTGAGTTGCTAACAATGCCGCTGACTCTCACATTTTGGTAAATGATTGAATTGTTGAATTTGTAGGTTGTACGAATTTCCTGGAAAGAGAAGGGAGAGGGAGAAAAATCACTCATTGGATTTTCTCCAGGAATTATTTACGTTTCAGTACTGCAAACTTCATGGAATGCCAACAAGAATGGCAACTGTTCCCAACAGTCTGGGAGTTTTGGAGGTTGATGAAAATACTGGTGTGATTATTGCAGATCACATTTCAGTCACCTGTCCACTTGCATCAGAGATGTCATTGATCAGGCACTGATTTACCAAATTCACTGTGGGGTTCTGAGGAAAACATCAGAGAATGAGCACAAAGCAGATATCAAAACTTTTACACATTGTACCTGCAAGGCAAGATGCCCACTTTTAAAGAGGTGACAATCTCTGTTGCCTTTGTGTAGTTCTTTCACTTTACTGTTTGATGAAGTTGTTGATCGAGTAAAGTTTTACACATGTGGGCTTGCAATTGTTCAACTGGATATTTCAAAATTAAACGGTGACATTATATTTCTGAATGCGCTGACTAATTTTTCAGCTATTTTATGCAAGGGGAAGGTCCTTTGTTTACAAACAAGCTTGCGGTGAAGTAGCTGTCGAATAATCCTAACACCTGGTTAATGAAAGCAAAGAAAGCTAGGCATTTGTCATCGGCTGGTAGCATGTGGCAGCTGCTGAGAAGGGCAAAGAAGTCTAAAACATCTCAACAGCCCTCCTTTGTGAGAGTGCATCACCACCAATACCCAATGGGAGAATTGTGGCTTTGTCAGTCCCAGGCAATGCCCTGTGTCCCTCATGCAAGCCTGCCACTCCTTTTTTTTTATTTCAACACTATACTTTATTCATAAAATATCGTTTTATCTCTACATACCTGCTCACTGAAGCAGTTCAGTTCTGTACAGTAGCATAATGAAAAACAAACAAACATTGGAGTTTGGCTCTATCCAACAAACAACCCAAAAGTATTTCTTACTTGTATATGACTACATTTACTGGGGGGAGATGGTGCTGATAGCTGAAAGGACACCCATTTAACTTTGGCTCAAAGATCTCAGACAGTGGTCTTTCCCCACTGTGCCTTGGTGGCAGCAGCCCCTAGCTGTATCGCGTCCCTCAGCACCTAATCCTGGACCTTGGATGTGCCAGTCTGCAAAACTAGGTCGAGGTCAACTCCTTGCTCTGTCTGGAAGACCAACATGTTTCAGGCAGACCAAAGAGTGTCTTTCACCAAGTTGATGGTCCTCCAGGCGCAGTTGATGTTTGATTTGGTGTGCGTCCTGGGGAACAGACTGTAGACTACAGAGCTCTGCATCGCAGAACTGTTCAGTATGAACCTCGACAAAAACCATTTCATCTCTCTCCAGACTTCCTTTGGAAAGGCACATTCTAGCATGAGATATTTGACAGTCTCTACCCTCTCCTGCAGCTGCTTCGTGGGTGGCATGCGATGGCGCAGAGATTCCAGGCATACAAGAAGGATCTCACAGGTACTGCCCTGCTCACCACCAGCCAAGTGATGTCTTGGTGCTTGTTGGAAAGTTCTACTGATGAGGCATTCTGCCTAATGACTTTGACAGTCTGCTCTGACAGAATTCCACACTCTCCTCTTTCTACAGGGTCACCGAAGACGCTATGGGGAGGTGATGGCCTAGTGGTATTATCGCTGAACTGTTAATCCAGAGACCCAGATAACATTCTGGGGACCGAATTTGACTGGTGGGTTTCAATCCCGCCACTGAAAATGGTGGAATTCAATAAATATCTGGAATTAAGAATCTAATGATGAACATGAATCCATTGCCGATTGTTGAAAAATCCCATCTGGTTCACTAATGTCCTTGAGGGAAGGAAACTGCCATCCTTACCTGGTCTGGGCCTACATGTGACTCCGGACCCACAGCAATGTGGTTGACTCTTAACTGCCTTCTAGGCAATTAGGGATGGATAATAGATGCTGCCTAGCCAGTGACGTCCTCATCCCATGAATGACTATTTATACATTACTATTCTCCTATTGTGTGTCGTTGTCTCTCCCATTCTGCAAATAAACACAAGACGCGAAACGTTAGCTTACTCTGTCCCACCACAGATGCTGCCTAACCAGCTGTGATTTCCAGCATATTTTGTCTTCAGCCCCTGCATTGTCCATGCTGCATGGCAGTTACAAATTTATTTACATTCAGTCATTAAAAACATTGAATATTACATCCACATAAGAAAATCAAATGTGGGTTTGTACACACTTTTAACTGCATTGTGAAGTTACTGTCTGAAATAACTGAATACTTACCCAAATGAAGCCTTTACTTTGCTAACAGCAATATTGCAAACTGACCTGGAGCTTTTTTGTGTTCTAAACAGGCTGCAAAGCTCATTGTTTACTTATAGCAATAGCAGATTGTCCCACACCTCAAAAAAAAACAATGGTTCCTTTTGAAACTGCTCCATCAACAAAGACATCCACATTATGTTATCTGAACTGTCTTCCCGAATTAGGC